TTGAAAACAAGGAGAAAGAGAGAGAAATTGTGTGTGACGAATGCATACATTATCATACAAGTGATTGAGTGAGTATATTAAATCATTCATTTCCATTCAATTACATTTCAAGCATTTAGTTTTGCTGCATCAGCAGCATCGCTTGACTAATTACCAAGTTGACATTGTCTCTGGGATGCGTGTGTCATGCGCTGGCCGGCTGATCAATTGGCTTTGATATTGTCATGACACACTAATCGCCGCGCTGAGACAAGGCAGCCCGCGCTTAAGTAGCAAACCCAACTAGCATTGCCAAAACCCAGCCAACCACCCAACCACCCACCCATCCACCTATCAGCCGGCCAGCCAGCTGGCTAGGTCTTCGATTTTGCTGGCTTAACACATGTTGACAAAGTAAACAGGATTTTGATGCTGTGGCGTACAAGCAATTTGCTAATCCAATACCCCACCGGCAACCACAGCAGCCCCACCTACCCTACCCCCACCTCTAGCCGCAGCTGCTGCAGCAAAATAGCGCACAAAAAAAGTAAGAAAAGCAGGAACAAATTGGCAGATTAGTTGTTGACATTTTGGAAAATTAATGAAACTGTGCTGCCTCAAGGGCAACTGGCACGCCCCCTTGAGCACCTAGAGCTCACCCTCAGCTCTAGCGGTGCGTCCGTTCCGTTAACCGCATAATTTTCGTATGTTTGAGAATATTCCCAGTTCGTTCTGCTCCTTTTGGCTGTGTGTGTGTGTGTTGTTTTTTTTTTTTCTTGTTTTTTACTTCACATTCAACTGCACACATAATTTAATTAAAAACTTGTTTTTTCCCCATCAATTTTCTGCCTGAAAATATCAAAAAAGCCTTTCACATCAGCCACATATGAACGCCAGCCGAGCATAGCGAAAATTTGCCTGCATTTTATTTCTTATGTGTGCTGCTTCTTGTTTTTTTTTTTTTTTTTTTTTTTTTTTTTTGCTGCGCCTTTATAAAGCATTTTTATTATGTTTTACTGGTTTTCAAAAGCCGAGCAAAGTTAAATAGAATTTAGTAGGTTTATTATGGGCATCATAATGCGAAATGCTAAAAAGGAATATGCAGGCATATAAAAAACAAACTGCTCGCTGGGCAGCTTGATTATAAATTGAAACGAGGCCTCAAATGAGTGAGAGAGAGAAAGAGAGAGAGAGAGAGAGGGAGAGTGAGAGTGCATGACTGCAAAATACCCTGCCCATTAAAATTATACTAGTTCTATAAATGCAATTTATGTTTTTTGCCTTTTAAGTAAACATTGAGTAAAATAATTTATTAGAATCATATAATTTGCTTTTATAATACTGAATATATATATGTATATTGGAAATATACGACTCTTTTATGCAGCTCACAGGCGTAATAAGAGCAGAAATTGCTGAAAGGCTGCATTTAACTAAAGCTGAGCTATTTTCCCCCTTTGCTATGCTTTGTGCTGGAATGTGGAGCTTGTTAGGCCGGTCACTAGGTTTACCGCTTAGCAGCTCTTTAGAAACTATATGGCCAAAAGAGGTCATATAAAGACAAAGACTTGGAACAATTATAAAAACTGTAAGGCGGCTGCATTAAAAAAAAAGGCTATAATAACAGAAAAATTACTTGAGTACTTTTAAATAATAATAAAGAATCCTAAATATATGGGGAGATATTTAAATAGAACTTATTCACATTTTTAAATATATTATGTATTATTATTATTATAATGCATAATTTACTACAATTTATTTTATTTTTTTTTATAAATTATAGCTTAAGGATTTGCTTATTGTTTTATACAAGACTGCAAATAAGACAAGACTGCAAAAAAAAAAAAACTAAATTAACTATTTCTTATTACAATAAAATCATTTTTGTTTTCTCTCAGTTCTCCTAATTTTATAATTTAATTTTCTTTATTTTTTAAATTTTTTTTTTAATTTTCTTTATTTGTCTTTAATTGTTTTTTATTATAAAAAAAAAATAATTTTGCTTTTCTTACAGTTCTCCTAGCTTTTCCAACTTTTTATTTTTATACGACCTGATAATATCTAATTCTGCATTTAATAATATACAGTTTGACTATCATAAATTAGAAAATATATATCAATCTGTAGTCTCTCTCGATTTATTATTCCATGTGCATCGCATTTTTTCATAAGGTGAGCCTCATTTCTTTGTGAGCCTCCTTGGCTCATATTTCTTCAATTACGTATCAAGTCAAGAATGCCATTCGCATTCCCTCACCCCCCATTCCCGAGTGGCCAAAGCTTAACCCAAATATACGAGTCAAAGGCAAATATTTCATAGATGCTGTCACAACACAGCTCCATCTTCATCTTTATTATATATATGAGGCTGGGAAAAGAGCAGGCAGGCAACGAGGCTGTCCAAAATATTTGTTAGCTTGTTATTCAAATGAAAACGTTTTCTATACTCGTAAATCTGAGCGCGGAGTCGGCATCGGCGTCAAGGACTCGCTTCGGCTGCGAACGTGCGTTTATGCAATGAAGCCGAGCTGGCGGAAAAGCGAGTGAAAAACAAAACAACATGTCAAAAAATAAATGTACAAAAGACATTTCTGGTATATTTTTCAAATGAAATATTAGTTTACTTTTAGCGACGGCGACAGCAGCACAAAAGCCAGCGTCAAAGCGTTGACAGGCTAAGGCAAGACAGCAAGAGAGACGGAGAGAGTGAGACACCGAGAGGGAGGGAGAGAGAGACTCTGAGTGTGTGTGTGTGCGTCGTCTTATTTGTCATTTCTTGAACGATTTCTGCAAAGCAAAGCAGAAACAAGCAGACAACCGGAAGGATAAGGAACAAATGGCGCAGGCACGTCGAAGCATCCAGCCTCTCGTAATGGCTGCTGGAAGATGATGCCACTTTCGCTCAAGTGCCGCAATAAACAAATTTCTCAAAAAGAGGGCGACCAGAACACGGCTACGGCTACGTGTGTTTGTGCCCAGGTAAGCCAAACAGTCAGGCAAAAGGACGTCGTTTGAATTATGAGTCGCGTGCTAAATTTTACAACTGAATGTGCACGGGGAATAAGAGAGCACAAAAAACCTCGAAGAAAGAGAGAGAGAGAGAGAGAGATAGAGGGAGAGAGCGCGCGGTAAGGGACGACAAAAAAATTAAGTAATTTTCTTCATACCGATTATTATCGTACGTAGGAGCGTCAAGTCAAGGGCGAAAGGGTTGCCGCCCCTCCATCGACATATGTCACACGCCGCTGGGCGCCGAGGCGTGTCAGGCGTTTAGATCAACGCGCGTTGATAGCGGCCGACCGCGTTTTAATGTGGAAATGCCGGCACGTAGCTCATCCCACACTCAGTGACGCCTCCCACACGATCCCCTCGCGCCCCACACACCATTGTTGACATCAATAAATATTCGCGCACGGCCGAGCCGGCCATCGGAACCAGCTACCCCCCCACCCAGTGCAGCCCATCCCAGCCCAATCTAACCCCACTCCACGCTCGGCAGTCGCTATCATCATAACGCTGAAAAGCCATAAACGACGTAATAAAATTCTGCACTGCCATATGTTCCCCAGCGGGCATTATTTTATTGAGGCATACGACAGTCGTCCATGCGACCATGCGACCATGGACCCATGGACACAATTTGTAGGCACTGTCGTTCGTACGGCGCGTCGAGCCATAAACTAAAGACTTTTAGAATAAATTTAACATATTGTGGCGTTTATCATATCATTTTTGCCCATACATAAAATTTAATTTTTTAAATTGGTAAATAAAAGCATCGCAGGCCAAAGACACAGCCAGAACGATAGCTAAATGCTCTAGCAGGAAAACGGAACAACATTTCTGAAATGTTTAATAAATAGAAAATTGGTAAACAAATTCAGTTGGAATTTGGCTTCTGCTCGAATCGAAATACCCTTCCTCTGGGCAGGGCATGGGCCGCTGCGGTTAAGCTACTGCGCTTTACTTTCACTCTAAAATTAGCTTTTAATTTAATTAGCTTTTTATTTGCTTTGAATGCATTTGCCTAAGCCTCGCTGTTCGCTCGGTTTTTGTGTGGCCTTGTTCGCCCTTAATGGCCTGGATGGCAGGGGGCGGAGGCCAGGGAGGCTCTTGCTAGCTTCGGGCTGCTGCTGCATAAAAACAGCACCACACAGCGAACCACAAAACAGGTCAGGTCGGGTGGGAGGGGCTGCGGGAGCTGACTGAGCTGCAGGTATTGCAATTATTTGCTAGCATTCCTGCAGCACTGACCACGCCCCACAACCCACGCCTCACTCACCGCCCCCCACGACGATTGTTTACTTTGAAGTTGACGTTTCAAACTGGGCCTAATTTGGCGTAAGCCCTTTATAAACTCTATAAGCAGCTGCACGCCGGACTCGAAGCCACTTTATATATAAACCTCTCTAATGGTTCAGCAATCAAACGAAATTCAAGTGAATTTGCAAGAGTGAGATTATTCAAAAAGCTCCAGCTGGACGTTAGATGATGCCAGATAGGGGCAAGCTTTAAGGCAATCATGCAAGCGAAGGGAGTAAGCGCCCATAGCGTCCGAATGGGAGGTATGAAACATACTTTAAAAATACTATAAAATACGAGATAATTTAATATATCATATCCTATTAATTTTAAAATATGTTCTATACGGTTATTATTAATTTTTATTATATTTACAATTATTTATTTTCTAAGTTCTATTATCCATATTATCTATTTTCTATTTCATAAGTATAATCTATTATTATATTATATTATTATATTGTTACTATTTTTATATATATCTATTGCCTATTCTATTGTCTATTTTCTATCTTTATATTTATATTTTATTATTATACTAGCAGTCCCAGCAAGCGTTGCATTGCCCTACCCTTATTTCTAGGTAAAAAATGATTAAAAGGTATGTTCAGGTTGGGATACACTCTAATTAATTTATTAATCAGATTTTCATTCAAGCACCTTGTGGTAAACGACATTCTTCGTTTTTTGGTCAGGTGCAAGAACAAATAATGCGGATGGTTTGCCAACACGTGAGCATGCCAAAATTGCTCGCTCACTTAACCATTTAGTATTTTTGTGGAAAGCAATGATATTCGGAAATACTTTGTTGATAAGCTCATCTTTTGAGGAGACGAAATTGCAAAAATTTTGAGGAAATGAAATCAAGCCACTCCTTTCGTCAACAGGAATACGGCCATTACCGATATTCAGCAACTGCTTCGAGAAATCATCAGCAGATAGATCGTTCAACAATGCAACTCTCATATTTACAGACAGTTGAAGTTTGGTTACATATCGCCACAGATTTGATGCTTTAAGGCAAGCGTTTATTTCGTCGGCAGCAGTAGATCTTGGAATTACTGGTAGTGTTTGTCGGAAATCGCCAGATAATAAAATCATTGAACCACCAAAACATCTCGAGTCATTGCGCAGATCTTTTAATGTTCGGTCTAGTGCTTCTAATGCGCGTTTGTGCGCCATTGTGCATTCGTCCCATATGATAATTTTTGATGCTACTAAAACTTTGGCCATTGCGGAGTGTTTTGAAATGTTACATGTCGGTTGTTCAGTAGCTTGAAGATTTAATGGCAACTTTAACGCTGAGTGAGCCGTACGGCATCTTGCGCATATTCATGCATATGACGCGGGCTACCTGTGTATGTCGCTGGTAAAATAGTCAATCGACCAACATTTTCAGAATCTCCGTCTGTAATTATTGCATCGCGTAAATGAATATACTCTTCCGAACGCAATTTAGCTTGATTCAAACGGATGAAAGTCAGGCGCTCCGTTTCGATTTTCACGTACATGTCAACGCAGTATTGTTGAAACAGTCGACGAAATCGCAACAAATAATTGTCAGAATTTTCACGAATCATCAAACGATATGCGTAATAATTCATAGAACTAACCTTCTTGCCAGTTTCCTCACCTGAAACAAATGCAGTAAAAATTGTATTTTAGAGCCCCTAATAGGTTTACGACTCTTACAGCTACTCTCTACTAAATTAAGAGTGATAACTTTTTTTGTGTACCAAAAGCAAACAGAATAAAATGTATATATAAAGTTAAAATGAAAACAACGATTGATCTTACCATTCAATGGATTTATCATTTTGATATTAAAGTGATATCCATCGTCTCCTTGCCAAAACATCAGCGGGTATTGTAAAGCGTCATATGAACGGTGCGTTTCAGATATTCTTTGTAGTTGCGCAGCACTGCGTCGTGTAAGCACAATATCGCGTGCTTCCAAGCTTTCACCAACAATCAGGATTGCCACTTCATCGATTGTTGGAGCATTAAATGTGCGTTCATGTGTTCCAGCTGGTCTTTTATCTGCTCTGATTACTATTTTATAGTCATCTCTTGGCATGCGCTCTAAAGCGGTCTTGAACAACTTGACCAATGCATGATGTTCATGAAGCATTTGCTGCAAATCTTGGAGAATTGCTCTTTTCATCGCAGTGTTGATTTCTTGGCGCCGATCAAGTTGCTCTTCCATATTGCCCATGAAGTATATTTGCAAGAATTTGTGCTGTTCATCTTCAATAGGTTGCAATGATCCAATGCGATGGCAAATCTGGCCTTGAATCTTTACATTCAAAGCCATAGTTATAGTTAGATTTACAAACACTTTTTACAGAAATCTAACCAACTACATTATCCCAAATAAGAAAATAAAATTTTTAACGTAAATTACCTTAAATGTCGGATTATATCCGTGTTCTTCAATAATTTCCGCCCCAAATGAAGTCATTTGGAAACAGGCATTGTATTTTTGAGTGTTCGCTAGAAAATGTCGTGATTCTAGTGTTTCGCCATAAAGCAGGGAACGCAATGGCTCTGGTGGCGAGACCACTAATGGCAATGTCACTTTACCACTAAGGCAGCACAAACCGGGCGTTTCACCAGCAAACTTCAATGCGCCACAATGCTGGCAAACAACGTCCATTGGACCAATGCAAACTAAACGATTCAAGCTGTAGTCAATGGTACAATCATATCGAAACGCTGCTCGATTCAAATCAATCCTTGAACCATTTCTTATTGCCGTTTCACGGGCTGCCTCTCTTTGAGAAGCACGAATTAAGGCCCTTCTTTGCTGGGTACTAACGCGGCGCCTTTCTCGTTCTTCGTCAGATAATTGACTCGCGGTATTCCGTAGCCTAATTGCATTATGGGTCCGCTGGGAAAGATTAGATCTTCTAGGACGCGGCATTTTCATTAATAGTAATACTGAATATGCACAATCGCACAAAACCACATAAAATATCGAGAAATCGAGAAATATAAATAAAAATTATTTACAAAAATAATGTCGAGAAATACAAATATAAATTATTTACAAAAAAACAATACCTACCTGAACTTTCGAGATATTTTGCTTTTGTCCGTATGCGTATTGTTTTTCAACATTTTTTTTTTTAACAAATGTGCTGTTTTATGAATAGTCAGGTTCGCCTGAGGCTGTGCCGTAGACTGACTGACTACATTTGTTTATTTACTTCTACACTATTGTCAAAACTGTCACTGTTACCAAGCCTACTGGGTATAAAAAAAATTTGAACATTTGGGGAAAAAACCGCGTTTTTCAAGTATTCGGCAAATTTTTTCAGTATTTTTAAGACCCTATACTAAACTCGTTGCGGAGACAAATCCAACAAATCAAAAACCATGAAAATTGGTTCAGCCCAAATCAAGTTATAAGCAGTCTTCACTTTTACACAACTTTCTTTTATATATATAGATTTATATTAAAAGATATGCAGATTAAGATAGAAGATCTGGAAATTATATCTATCTCTGTTGCTCTTTCTTCCATGATCCATGTACTCCAAAAGTAAGGCAAATTATTTAAAAGACTTTAGACCCTTACACAAATAAAAGTAAATCAGAGATTAATCCATATTCTATTTTTGCATAACAAATTTCATTCCCAAATTGAAAAGCCTCCCCTCCACAGAAACTTTATAATTCCATGCCGAGTATTTGGTCAGGATTATGGTTAGTAACCGTTATTATCCGCTACAAGCGGGATTATTGACCCTAACAGGCGTCTAGTCGCCTGTATCACATAATTGAATAACTAGAGCTTAGTTCGCATGCACGAAATCGAACAAATGGATTGTTTGAATGCCAGTTTATCCTTGAACTGACCAAAGCGCAAATTATATTCCCGTCAGCTGCCACACACACACACGCACACACACGCAGCCAAATGTGATATAGTATATGCCGCGCCCAACAGCAATGTAGCTCCTATAAAATAATAGGCTGCCTCGCTGTCTGTCCGTCACTCTCGTGTTTCTCTATCTCGTGTCGCTTGTGTTGCCGTTGCTGTTGCTGTTGTTGTTGCTCTTGTTGTTTGGGTCAGTGTTTGGGGCTGTGCTCCCACAATCAAATTGGAATCGTTAGCGCAACAAATTGAATCGAATCAAAGCCCCGACGTGCTCGCATTTAAATAATAGCCAAAGATTATCAATTAAGCCGTTGTACAAATTGATAGTGTTGGCTCAGTTTTGTCCAGGCATCACTACATGCACATATATGCATATGCCACGCCCACTCGCTGGCAGCGCGTGCAGCATTATTGCATTAAAATTATTTAATTATCGACTGGTCAGCGCGGCCTTTGTATCGGTGTCCGAACCACCTGAATAAAGGCATAATTGCATTGCCGTAGGGGAGCTGTGACAGAGATGGCGACAACTGCGCTAGAGAGAGAGAGCGGGAGAGAGAGAGAGAGAGAGTATATAGCTGTTGCTGTCACGCCATATTCGTTTATGCACTGAAATGTATGCAGATTGCAGTTATGAGGTCTCATTTTTATTGCACCATAAGACTAATAAGATTTTCATATGACCACGCCCCCGCCTATCCCGTCCCCCTCCTGCCGTCAGCGCCCACAATAATTTCCATCATAATCGCGCTGATTTACATGGCAGCGGAGTTAACTTGTTGGATAGGCTGCATTACATTAAGCAGCATTTTTAATTACATCATAAAAGTTAATTATAAGTGAAAAGAAGAACAAAATTATGGCGATTCCTTTGTAAGCGAGAGCTCAAATTAAATTCTCTTTTTTATAATTTTTTTTTTTTTTGAATAATGAAAGAGCAGATAAATGCATAAAGAGATGCTCTGAATATATAGTTACATTCAGCAGAAATCAAAGCATAGATCAGAGCGAAATCTCCTTTGCAGTCCTTTGTACAAATCGTTTTCGGTAATTTATCTTCAGTTTTGTTGTTGTTCTTTTTCGTGTTTTTATCTTTGCATTAACTTTTCAGTTTGACAATTTTAATTCGCTGCAAATATTTGCATAACAAATTTCGAAGGGTGGTGGGGGGGAGAGGCCTCTGTCGCCTCGTGGCACCTGGGATCGGGGTGGGCTGACGACAAGCTGCCAAACGGTGCAGCCCGGCAATAAATCAAAACTCAGCTAATTACGCAACAAAGAGGCGACTTTTCGCCAGCTGAATGCTAATTAAAAACGATAGAGAGAGAGAGAGGGGGAGTGGGAGAGAGTGAGCAGAGACGTATTTGGATTTGCCCCGTGTCCCGTGTCCCACGCCCCATGTCCCATGTCCCGTGCCCCATGGCTGCTCAGTCAGCAGCTGGAGCGAGCCAGAACACAATTTGGCCATTAACAATAATACCAAATCGGCGCTGGCCAAAATCAGTGGGCACTGAAACGCAGCCGAATCGCAAATTTATGTGGCACGAAACGGGACTCTACAGAATGTGCCGGAGCGCACCTACCGGCCGGAGTCCGGGCCTGAGTCCGGCTGCTACTAGACGTAATTAATTCGATTATATTTCATTGATTTCAACGCCCGGTCTCATAGAAAATAAAATTTAATTGAAATGCCGCTCAGTGCGGCGTTAGAGGCTGCAACGTAAATCAAGTTTGGCCAGTGGGTGGAGCACAAGGCTGGGGAGGAGACGACGTAGACGATGTCCTTTTTCGAAGGCGACAACAGCCAGCTATAATGGTAAACAAAAAATCAACGTGACAGGAAAGAAAATTAGCAAAGTTCGCTCGACGCTGTCCTTGGCCAAAAGTGGCTTGGCCCTTGGGCTTAAGCTGCTTTATGCCACGCCCCCAAGCCCGGCGATGAGCGTCTCAGGGGACGCGAATTTAAGCCTCGTGCCCGAAACTCAGTCCACAAAAATTTGAGCCACAGCCAGGACTTCTGTCAAAGACATGGCAACAGGAATTCCACTGCCGCCTGGACATTGATTAATAATGTTTTTGTATAAGTACAAGGATATACGATTTTTTATCATCGCGCACGACCGGATGTTGTTGTTGTCGCCGTTGCCGTTGCTCTTATTATTTGCCGCGTTTCTTTTTAATGACTTTCAATGGAAAAAAAATTGTTTTTGCCAAACTAAGCAAGAATCTCAGAGGGGAGGGGGCTGATTGCTGTTCGCCTGAGAGGGCAAAAGGCCAGGGAAAGCTTATTAGCTAAAGGTTAAAGGACTTTTTAGATACCATTCTTATTGGGAAATTGTGGCACATTTTATATGTTTTATATGGCTTATATATTTGATATTTATATAAATAATTTATATTTATATAAAACGAATTCTTTTTATAGGTTTTATTTTTGGCTATTTTAAGTATGGGCTGAAATCATTCAGAGCCCAATTTTAAGTTACTTTAAGAAGAACTAAAGATACTCTAATATAGTTCTTCAATATTAGACTTTAGCTAATAAGCTATAATGACATAGATATATAGCTATAAATATATAGAAAATATACAATATTAATGGAGAAAGCTTTTCCGCTTTTCCATCATATTCTATAAATTCACTTGCCATGGAAGCTGAGTATTTCCAAAACAGATTTATTTATGTATAAATATATGTAGGCTTCTTTGAAGCATATAGAGCATCAGAAAGTCAAGTAAATAATTCTTATTTCAAAACTCAGCCCAATCATAAATCATGCGAAATTATTCGACCACAATTTCGGCAAGTCGTAGAGCAACAACCGCTGTGAGCACTGCCTTTGAGATTAAATCCTATTAAAGCCTGCGGTGGTTGACTATTAATTATGAGCGTGGACAAATTAAAAGACGCCTTACACATACACACGAATACACACGCACACACACACA